TCATATTTAGACCTCCTTCTGCATCCAAACTCTCTCATAATCCCTCCACCAGATTTCATGCATTCTGTCATGTATGTTAAGGCCTACCTAGTCAAACATTTATACCCAGATGTCCCTGGGTACAAGTTCATCCACTGGAGTAAAGAAGATCAACTTTCCCTCACCCCACAGTAATCAGCTGCCAATAGTTTTTCAGCTAAGGTTGGGGCCTACTGTCCATTGCCCCATTTTTATGTTGCGTATTTGTCTGACTGAGTCAGTGTGAGTCTTGTGCATATTGTCACCATTGTTGCAAGTTCATATAAGCAAGTTCCCAGAGGCCTGAAAACCTGCTTCCTTATGTTCATGCACCAACCCTGGCTCTCTTATGCTTTTTAAAAAAAAGCCTATTGAGTCCAATTTGTGTTCCCCAAATACTCCTAGGTGTGTTCCTCAGGTAAGGCTATTTTATTCTTTTAAATCCATTCTACAAAGTGATAGATTTCATAACGAAATTTTCATCCACGTATATCATGTATTATGACCACATTCATCCCTCATAAGCCTCTTCTGCCTCCTCTTCCTCCAACTAAGTCCCTTCCTTTCCCCAAATAGCCTCCCTTCTACTTCCATGTCTTGCATGTGTGTGTATATCTATACACACATACACATACAGGCATGTTAACTATTCTAGATTACACATATGAAAGAAATATGCAACATTTGTGTTTCTGAATCTGACTTATTTTGCTAACAGGATGATCTCCAGTTCTGTCCAATTTCTTACAGATGGCATGTGGTGGTTTGAATGGATGATGGTTCCCCATAGGCTCAGGTCTTTGAACACTTGGCTTCCAGTTGATGGCTATTTGTGGAGGTTCTAGAACCTTTAGTAAGTGCAGCCTTGCTGGAGGAGGAGGTACATGACTGGGGGTGGACTTTAGGGGTTTAGAGTCTCACCCCACTTTCAGGTTGGGATCTCAGCTTCCTGTATAATGTAATGTGGTCAGTCAGGTTTCTGCTCATGACTCCCCTGTCATTATAGATTCTCCCCTGGAACTGTAAGCAAAAATAATTTCTTCTACAAGTTGCTATTGGTCATAGTACTTGTTCACAGCAACAGAAAAGTAACTTGACACATGATATAACTTCATTCTTTTTTCTGGCTGAATAAAACACCATTATGTATATGTACCACATTTTCTTATTCCATTCATATGTTGATGGACACTGAGGTTGGTTATATCTATCTTGGCTGTTGTGGATAGTGTTGCAATAAACACGGATGTGTAAGTATCTCTATGGAATGCTGACTTAGATTTCTTTGGTCATATACTCGGGGTACTACAGCTGGATCATATGGTAGTTCTATTTTTAGTATTTCTGGGAACCTCTGTACAGATTTCCATAGTGTCTAGACTAATTTACATTCCCACCCGTGTGTGTAAGGGTTTCAAAGGTCTCATATCTGTGGATTTGTTATTTTTAGGTCCTTAAAGAGCGTCTGGGATCACCGGAAAAGGTCTCTGGTAATTATTTGGCTACATTTCTCTCTTACTTCACATGCCTTCCCTAATTATCAGCTGCTGCAGTGACAAACAACTACAGTCACTGATGTGTCATTCAATTTCATGTCCAATATATATATATATATATATTGGTCTTGTTAGAACTAATGCTTCTACTGCTTTACCTACCTGGAGAATTCCTCTCATCCTTCAAAATCAAGTGATGATGTCACCTACTCTGACCCTTACAATATGGTATCATCATTGCACCTCATATACTGTTTGGCCATTGATCAAACACGGACATCACTCACCTCATGCTTGGCATGCAGCTTGGAATGCATTTCTGATAAGTAAATCAGAGAACATACCTCAATATGAGCCTGGCTCATCTTTCCTTGGAGCACTGCATCCTTCCCTTGGAGCACTACCCCAGTAATGCACTACATAATTGGCTTGTTTCTGGAGCCTTAGCAGTATTGCCTCACTTAGACAGTGGGATTTTAACAGAAGGGAACTCCAGTTGTTAGGCACTAGCACCAGCCTCAGTGTGACCTCACAGCCCCACCAACAGCCTGCCAATCACACTAAAGCTCAGTTCTGCAAAGCAGAAGAGATTCCAGGAAAAGAGATGTTTCTGGAAATGCCAATCACACATTGTCTTCCAGCTACTCAGGGAGCTGGCCCTTCAGAGGATGATCAGAGAAAAGAGAGATGTGATCACTGGTCTGGGAGGTAATTTCAACCCAGGGAGAGGGATCCAGGGACGTGTAATGGACCCTGAGGGAGAGGGATCCAGGGACGTGTAATGGACCCTGAGGGATCTATGAGCCATCATGTTGATGAACATTTTTTTTCTCAGAGGACAGTCCACAGCATCCTTTAGATTTATAAAGTAGTTCATGGCAAACATCAGGACCCACTATTATAAAACCCTGCATTGCTCCCAGAACCAACAACTGACTTTGGACCACAGAGGACTTGGTTATGATGATAGATTTGGGACTGCCTCAGGCTCAACATTTATATGTTCTTGAACCACGGGGAGAAAAGCTTTTCAGAAGAGAAAGGGAGTGTGTCACTTGAAGAAGTTCCATTTTTGTGTCATATGCAAATTCAGGTGTAATGAGGGAGAGGAAGTTCACCTTGGGATACCCGGAAGTTGACCTTGACATTGACCTTGACATCCTTAGAACAACAAGCTGCTCAAAAGTAGAAAATGAAAAGTCATGTTTGAACCTGTTTTCTCAGGAGTGGGCTCCGGAAAACACTAACAAACACAAATCCTGTGCAGTGGACCTTTTTTCTTCCTGGCATAGAAGCATGTGGCCTGAGCTGACTGTAGAAGGGGGTTTTCAGTATCAATGAGAAAAGACAGACAGATACATTCATTCATTCATTTTCTCTCTCTGTCTCTCTCTGTCTCTCTCTCTGTCTCTGTCTCTCTCTCTCTCTCTGTCTCTCTCTCTCTCACACACACACACACACACACACACACACACACACACACACAAACAAACAAACACAACAGGAAAAGCAAATCTGAGACTGGAGAGGCACTTGGACTACACTCTGGAGAACGGAAAGTAATTTTTTACCCAATCCTACAAGGTTAGATAAAAACAAGAAAAAAGATTTTCACTAAAATATATATGTGTGTTTTCTTTCTTTTTTTAAAGAAAAACATAAATCTCTCAGACATCTGAACAGCCCTATAGGATTTTTTTTTGGCTTATTTGGTTCCTACTGTTCCTCCTTGGCTAAAAAAAAAAATCCTTGGGGAATTGAAGAGATGGCTCAGAGATAAGAGCACTTGCTGCTCTCCCAGAGGTCCTGAGTTTAGTTCCCAGCACTCACGTGAGGTGGCTCATGAACAGCCTGTAACTCTAGTTCCAGGGGATCTGATGCCTCCTGCTGGCACCCCCACTCCCTCACAAATAAAAAAAAAAATAAATCTTACAAAATCTTTACAATGAATCTTTTAATTTCAGTTGTTCAGAGTACATGCTTTGTACCCAAAGAGATATAGGCTTTTTCACTGACCTGCTAAGGAATTCTGGATAAGCTTCTGAGTACCCTCCACCTCCCCCTCTCTCTTGTTTTGAGACAGGGTCTTTCTATGTTGCCCTGGTTGGCCTTGAACTCAAAGAGACTCTCCTGCCTCTGCTTCCTGAGTGCTAGAATTAAAGGCAGCTTTCTTACCCTCTTTTAAGAACTCATTCAACAGTTATAATCGAAGTGAAGCAATCACAAAGGGCTCATAAATGAAAGAAGTGATGGTGAGGGGTCTTAGACTATAGCACACTGTAAACAATCAACTATGGAGTAACAACATGTTAATGAAGAAAATGAATCCAGGGACACATTTTCATGCACTGTCACAGAAGCTATAGCAGATAGAGAGGAAAAACTCAGAGAGGGAGACCTAGGTTCCTCAGTGAGGACTCCCTGTTATATACATCAGACAGGTGGTAGACTGTCTTCCTTACCTTCAGGTGTGGCCAGGCCTGGTGAAGAAACATCCTTGCTCCCTTACAATAATGTGAGCCATCTGTCCAGGCCCAGGGAAGACCCAGAAAGCTATAGCCTGAACAGCACTGCCTGTATTTCCCAGTGGCCCATTCTGGTGGGTGCTACCAGTTTTCTAGAAAGCCTTGGCAAAGCCTGGGCTCACCCTGTACTAGCATACTTTCTGCTTAGCCAAGTGGCCTGGATGAATCTCCTAGTCCATCTGGATCAGAAGATGTTATTGCGAGGGGTATATTAATTAATTGATTATCACCCCTTGGAAGCTATCAAGATTGCACTTTTATCTTTTTCTTTGAAAGGACTTGCCACCCACTTTTATTACATACAAAAAATTAGCTGAGGGTTTTGACCATGTATATTTATAAATTGGTATGATATGACATAAGCATCACAGGCTGGGAATGTTCTCCTGTGACAGTCACTCCTGTTTTGACAGAGCTCTTTTTTCTAACTAGAAACCTCAGGCTGGATGCCTCACACTCAGAACCCACAGAACAGTCTGGGAAGTAGGCTGCTGGCATCACGGCTCTGCACCCACACTGGGTCTCCAGGGAGCCGGACATTTAATCCCACTAAGCGCATTTTCTCTAAACTTGTCTCCTCAGTTGAAATCTTACTTCATTCAAGATTTGCATATGGCTTTTCTTGCTGGTTATTCCATTAAACCTAAATTTCATTTCCTTCTCAACCACCTTCCCCACAGGGTAGGAAGGAAAGCAAACACTTTTCTTACATTATCAAAGAAAGCTGATAAAGCTTATTATGAAAATCAACAGAGATGTGAGCTAGAGACCCCAGATCATTTCCCTGTCACCCATAATTTCCTTTGAGATCTGGGGACTGTGGGTGAGTACCATGCCTGGGAAAGACCAAACTCCACACTTCATTGTGGACCTTCCTTACCTCTATGCTCGCCACGTGTGGCACTGAATATCACATGATTGAGATGCTTTCAAGGAAATCACCCTGACTACACTTCCTTACCCGGCAGTCTCTCTGAAGGGTCTTCATGAGTGCATTGTATGTTTCTGTATCAAAGTACAGGCCCTCGTGCATGTCTTGTAGGAAATCCAGGTCCTTAAACGTGGGGTTGGGTTTCTCTCTCTCTTTCCGGGATGCTCTTCGCTTGTAGGTGGAGCCTTTCAGGTCATAGGTCAAGTGCATCCTCATGGCGCGGGGCAACACGTTGTTCATCACCACAATCCGAATGTTTATGCCCCCCGACTGCATGCAATATAGCCCATAGAACTTTGGCAGAAGAGTCCTTGGATTCTGGTTTAAATTCTAGAAAGAAAAAATTAAAAATAAGAAAAAAATATTTGCAATCCCCCATTTTCAAAGAGAAATGCTTCATGAAAAGTGAGTTTTAAAGTTAATATAACTGAAAATGGAGTGATTATCTTTATCAATGCCCATTGTAAAAATGTCAATTTCTTATTTTTCCTCCTTACACTTCCCTGTTCTTTGTCTCCCTTTTCCCTCCCATCGAAGTCTTTTCCCCCTAAACAGTCGGTTCTATTTTCACGTCATGTATACATATATCATCTAAATGTTTTTATTGCATCTTTACTTATTTGTATACCTACTGTGTGTGTGTGTGTGTGTGTGTGTGTGATAGCGTGCAAGTGGAGGTCAATAGCCAACTTGCAGGAGTTTGCTCCCTGGTTCTCTCCTTTTATTATATGAGTCCTGGGGATTGAACTCAGGCTGTCAGGCTGGATGGCAGGTGTCTTTACCTGATGATCCATGTTGCTGCCCCTACATATGTAATTTTATGTATCTATAAAAAAAATCTAGTGTTCATAAATGATAGGAAGTGTGATATTTGAGACCGACTTAATTTGCTTGATATGGTCACATCCAGTTGCATCCATTTCCTGGAGACGGTATAATTCCATTCTTCTTTATGGCTGAAAAAACATTCCATTGTGTATGTATACTAATTTTTTTTAATCCATTCTTTTGCTGATGGACAACTAGATTTGGTTCCATAACTTAGCTATTGTGAATAGTGCTGCAATAAATATTAATGTGAAAATAACTGTTGTTTTGAATTTCTTTCTTAACCTGCTACTGGAATAGTTGTAACCACTGCAACCATTGTTCTAAAATTCAGAATAATAAAAATGGCTGTATGGAACATGGACATCATGCTCTAAATTAGCTTCAACTAAACATAGGCAAAGAACTGATGGCTACTATATAGCTAAAGAGAAAATTAATTGTTGAGAAGTTAAGTGATGAATGGATTGAATTTTAGCCATTCTTGCAAAACCATTTTCCCAATTAGTGAGACTGATGTTTTAAAAAATTATTTTTTATTTATTTATTTAATCTTATGCGCATGAGTGTTTTGCCTGCATGTAAGTGTACCACATGTGTGCAGTGCCCATGGAAAGTAGAAGAGGGTGTCAGATCCCCTGAGATTGAATTAGAGGTGGTTGTTGGGTGTTGGGAAACAAACCCCAGTCCTCTCTCTGCAAGAGCAGCCAGAGCTCTAAAGTGCTGAGTCATCTCTCTAGCCCCAATGGAAACGATTTGTAAGCATACTGTAGGATTACACATTTCCATCACTCCCACCAGTCCTGAGTACTGTCAGTCTTCATTATCATTATAGGCATGATTGGTGAAAATCAGGAACAATTTTCAAAAAATTAAGTATCACTGGTTAAGTATAAAAATCTAATACCCTCGATATATTTTAGCTACTGAAAAGGTAAGTCTGTGTTAAAAACCTTTGCTAATTTTTGTTATGTTATGGCTGAAGTTCTTGATATAGTCTGGATTTCTATAATTTTCTTCTATATGCAATAAATATTTCTTCTACTATGTGATCTTTTTATTATAAAAATAGAGAATACATACCCATTCCTACTGCACTTTAAATGTGGGTGGGATTTTAATAAATTAGTAAAGGGTATATAATAAAAAGTCTCCTGCTGGCCCTCCCCTCATTCTTCCCCTAGGTCCCAGGGTTTGTAGAAATGACTTTTTTTTTTTGGTGTTTTTGAGACAGGGTCTCCCTGTAGCCTCATCTGTCCTGGAACTATGTGGACTAGGCTGGCCTCGAATTCCCAGAGATCCACCTGCCTTTGCCTCCCAAGTGCTAGGATTAAAGGCGTGCATCACCACGCCCGGCAGAAATGACTTTTACCACATTCTTTATAGCACTCTATGTGATTATGTTAAACTTTGTGCCTATTATGTTTGTACTCTAAATGTTCTGCCTTTTGTTGGAGTCACATTTATTCATTTCTTATGCTTTTCGTTTAACAAAGCTTTTGTAGCTTATGATTCTATTTTCTTCCAACTTTTTAATAGTTTTCATCATTATATTTGACTTTACTTCATAAGCAATACATTCTTATGTATGTGAAAGACCTAATATCAGGAATATAATTTCTATCCCAAGTTGATAGGTATTTACTGGACTTTCCCAACTGAATTTAAGTCTCTCCTAGGTCAATACAATAAACTGTCAAATGCACATGGTTTATTTCTGGACACTTCATTTGAATCCACTAATCCATCTGCTGGAATTGCAGTTATACTTCATCTTTAGAAATTTCTTGTTGGGGACTGGGTGTGGTGGTGCATGGCTTTAATCCCAGCACTTGTGGGGAGGCAGAGGCAGAGACAGGTGGATCTTTGTGAGATGGAGACCAGCCTGATTGCCATACAAGTTCCAGGTTAGCTGGGGCTAAAGAAAGACCCTGTCTCAAAAAGACAACTCCCCCAAAACAAAAAAGTTTTATGTCTGTCTGTCTGTCTGTTTATATATATGGGGCCAAGGGGGGGAGATATGTCAATAACCTATGTATGGAGATTAGAGGATATTTCAGGAATTGGTTCTCTCTTTCCACCATGGATCCTCAGGGGTCCAACTCAGGTTATTAGGCTTGTTGGCAAGTACCTTTACCCACTGAGACATCTCATCAGCCCATTATACCACATCTTTAACATTACTTACAGCCTTATAGATTTTTGGTACAAGTTTTGGTACAGATACATCCTTTCCCTTTCATTTTTGGGGTATGTGTGTATATGCATGTGTGTTTACATGCATGTGGGCACATGTGTGCCCACACATGTGGAGTCTATTGGTTGACATTGGGTATCTTCTTCAATTGCTCTTTACTTTATATATTGAGGCAGGGTCTCTTACAAGAGCCAACTGTTTATGGATTTAGCTAGCCTAGCTAGCCCGCTTGTTCAGGGGATCCGGTCTCTAACTCCCACATAGTGGGATTACATGGGGGCCTCCATGCTTGCCTGGAATCTATGGAGATGCTGGAACTACAGTCTTCCTGCTTGCCAGACAAACACTTTCTCTGCTGAGGCATATCCCTAGCCCCTTCATTTTCCTTCTTTTTAAAATGTTTTTTATTCATTTTTATAACATTTTTTACTCAACTGATCATAAAACTTTTTTAAAACTAAATCCTTTTTTTTTTTCTTTCAAATGAGTCAGCTTTTCAAGATCTGGGAAAGATTCCATTTGAACTTCTGGGTTTTTTTTTTTTTTTTTTTTGTCTTTTTGAGACAGGGTCTCCCTATAGCCCCAGCTGTCCTGGAACTCACTATGTAGACCAGGCTGGCCTTGAACTCAGAGATCTGCCTGCCTCTGCCTCCCAAGTGCTGGGATTAAAGGCGTGTGCCACCACGCTCAGCCCCATTTGAACTTTTATTCATATAAGTTTATTTGGGGCAGTAGAAATATTTATTTACAATATTGAGTTCCGGAACAATGCATATATTTTTATTGTTTCACACCTTTTTACATCTTTAAAATTTGTAGTTTCCTTCATTTTAATCTCTTTTTAAAGGCTTTCTTAATATTTTTAGCTAGCATACAAAGTTTCTTTGTGTTTTACCTAGTTAACTGTAATCATCAATTTCACATAGCCTACAGTCATCTGAGAGGAAAACCTTGATTGAAGAACTGCCTAGAACAGACTGGTCTGTGGCATGTTTATGGGGAACTGTCTTGAGTAGGTGGGCTCAGCCCACTGTGGGCAGCTCCATTCCTAGGCAAAGTTGTCCTGCACTGTATAAGAAAGTTAGCCAAGCAGAAGCCTGAGAGCGAGACAGCAAGCCAGCAAACAGCATTCCTCCATGGTTCCTGCCTTCACTTCCTTCAGTGACCATTGCGATCTGAAAGTGTAAGCCAAATAAACCCCTTCCTACCTCAGTTGCTTTGGCTAGAGTGCTCCTACAGTAGCAACAGAAAGGACACTAGAACACATTCCGACATGTTTGAATGCATATCATTATATCGTGTTCATGCCTGCCCCTTTTCTGCTGCCTTCCCGTCTCCTCTTCCCACTTGCTTGTCTTCCTTGTCTGCACAGCGATGGCTGCTTTTACATCACACATGTTCCACGAACATTTGTTTTGAAAGAATGAAGCATTTTAGAGTTTTTCTTATTACAAATTTTTCTTAATTGATTACTGTTCATGTTACACTTACTGTAACTTATTTTCCCAAACAGAATTACAGGAACTTCACTTATTTTTATCTTAAATTTTCATTAAATTTCAACAGCTACATGTGGTTAGTGGGTATCACACTGGACAATGCAGTTTCAGAATGAAGTACTAGCACTTCTAAACTTATGAGCAAATGGAAGTTCACAGTTGACTTGTGTGGCAGGGGGCCAGAGAGCATGATCTCAATCTTAGGTTACTTTAAAATGTATAGATGAGCCGGGTGTTATGGAGCACGCCTTTAATCCCAGCACTTGGAAGGCAGAGGCAGGCAGATCTCTGTGAGTTCGAGGCCAGCCTGGTCTGCATAGCGAGTTCCAGGTCAGCTGGGGCTACATACAGGGAGATCCTGTCTCAAAAAGACCAAAAAAAAAAAAAAAAAAAAAGGGGAAAAAAAAAACAACAAC